TCAAAATCTAATTTTTGTTCAATTTTTGGTCGCATTACATACGTCCTAAACAAAATGTTACATCCTCTTCATTAAATATCGATATTTCATAAAAATTCCACATTCACACATGCCGTTCTCTGCACGTTTTCTTTTTTCCATCGGTGATTTTGGCTAACCCTCTAGCAAAAATGAAATTTTCCCTTGCACATGTCACTCAGACTTTCAACGTACACTTTGTGCATTAAATTGACTGGCTCATTCTAACAGAAATTCACTCTTAAACAAACGCGTTAGAGTGATTAAACTCCACAAACGAGCAGCGCATATACAAGGCTTTCTGGGAAACACGGATTTCCTAACTTACGGCTTTTCAAAAAATCCTCTCACTTTTTATGGTTCTAAATTGAAATGCGTTGCTGCAAACAGTGGAGACTGGGTCAACTGCTACGATAAACGCAGGCTAGAACGCAACAGGCGAGCCGGCGAGATCATGCATTTTTGCACTATTTCATGCTGCAGCAAGATTGCAGCTAGAATTTGTGACATCCTGGCCCTCGAAGTTCAGGAAGTTAATTGTGCAACTGTGGCATGTCAGTTGTAGATGTCGGCTTCAGTGACCCGATGAATGGAAAGTTGCTTTTTATCACACATGGGTAGGGAACATTCCCTTAAAATTCCAGTCTTCTAGCTTTCCTCGTTCCCGAGTTAGTAATTTTCCCACCAAAACTTTTATGTGCCCGTGCGTGAATGGAATGCGTGACATCTGATATCAAGTTCCTACGGCCGCAACTTGGCCAGGGAACACACAGGCAAAATTTTAGCATCAGAGATTGCGTGGTTGGTGAGTAGAAATACCCCGATACACACACACACACACATACCCGGATACACATACCCGGATACACACACCCGGATACACACACACACACACATACACAAACACACATACACAGAAAGGACCGTCGCAACATGCGTTTTTTAGCCTATTGTATGGCTCTAGCGTTGCACGGCAAAAACTCATGAAAATGGATGAATCCACTGCAGACGACCTTTCCAGAAGAAAGTATTTAACGAGAAATAAAGGCACAATGAATGTACGTTTAGTTGGCACAAGTGGATGCTTTGGCAGACGTAAATGTATTTACAATGATCTACTTATTTTTTTTTCACAGACTTTTTCCTCTTTCTCCTTTCCTTCTCACTGTTTATATATATACATATATATATTACATATATAACATATTATATTACATATATACATATATGTGCATATGTATAAATATATATCAAGGCACAAACGCAAACGAAAACGCATATTATGTAATATGCATTTTCGTGTGTGTGTGTCTGTGTGTATTCACAGTGCGTAGCACTGTAAATTATATGAGAAAGTGTGACTGATGAGAAATCTCTTTGAAAGCAAAGAAAATATGCAGAGATTGTGCGAACCGTGAATAAGCGAATGGGGCTAACACATCGTGGAATGCTGAAGATCGTTGTGCGATGCTGCTGCTGCTGATGTTGGTGAATCGAGGCGCAGCGCAAATCAAACGATAAATGTTTTTCATGTGAAAAGCTGAACAAATTCTACGAAAGTGGCACAGTGCCTCCCAAACTGGCTGTCACCGCTGTTCGTGCACCTCCCACTCAACTCTTCCTGAACAAACTGTTATTGAAGCTCTGATGCGCCACAATTTCTGTGAACAACTTCAGCTTCACTGGGCACACTCTGTCAATTCGGCTGAAATACACAACGCGCTGACGACCAGTTATGAAACGATGTGACACTGGCGTCACGCACTCCCACGGATACAGGTAACGGCCTTTCGAGT